TGTACAATGTATATAACGGTAACGGTAAAAGCGTGCTGTACAAATACTGTGTATATTATACATCGTCCATCATAGTGTGATCGGTTGAAGACGGATGATAATTTATACGTGTAATAATCATCATTGGTCCATGCCTAAAATACTTGTTGCTATTATATGCTAGTTGTGCGGATATATGCATTAGCTTTATAGCATATAAAATTGAGAATGGAAATAGCAGTCTATAAGTTCACTAAAGGTTAATGTCTTATACTTTAAATAATTATACTGTTTATACTGGATAGATACGTTCATCTGCAATTTATGTAGAATACGTTCAACATTTAAGGCACATTAAAGCAGTATGCGGCAAATACGCTGGAAAAGAAAAAAGTTAAAGCACTATTTAGTATAAGATGTCCAAATAAATAATAGGTAGATAGCCCCTTAAAATCTAGATAAAGACATGTCCTATATATTTATACAAGCACTTCTCAAGCGGATTGTCGTTATTTTAGAAAAGATAGAATACTTCTAGATATGCATTCACTACGCCTCACACTTTACCCTGCCATCTGTCTCATTCTACTGGTATGCATATTGTCTATGTTGTGTTGTTGTTTCATATGGAGTTGTTTCATTTTGTGAGTACAGTTCATCACAATTTGTCACGATTGTATAAGCATGTAACAGTCATTCAAGTTCTGATAGAGCCCATTCTTTAAGTTTTCCAGTTATGATTTAATTTTTGGAGGTGGCTGTCACGTGTATGTTTATGTCTACTGCATGAAAGCATGAAGTGTTCTAAATCTCCATCTGCTGCATTACACAATGTACATATTGGGGATATATTCTCATTGTGTTTCAGACCAAAGTCCGGGTCCGGAGTCCCGTCTTGTTTCAGAGCGTACCCAATCAAATACACAGGTACAAAAGCAACGAGGTATCCAATGATGCAAATTATAGAACGTATTTATATATTTTTAAGAACATATATTTTTAATTTATGAACACATATTTTTATTTTTTTTGAATAAAAATTTTGTTTTTATGAATATATATTCAACTTTTATGAACAATTATTTATTTCTATGAACAAATATTTCTTTTTTATGAACAATTATTTGTTTTTATGAACACTTAAATATCTCTATTTTTTAAGAACAAATATTTTTTTAGGAACAATTATTTATGTTTTATGCATATATATTTTATTTTATGAACACATATATTGATTTTTTGAATATATATTTTGTTTTTATGAACATATACTCGTTTTTACGAACAATTATTTAACTTTATGAACACATATTTTTTTTTTTTTAATATTGCAACGTTTGACACGCCATAAAAGATGCAAGATATAATTAATATTCTTATGGGACAAACTCTTGTAAAAATAGTGGGACAAACTCTTGTAAAAATAGTTGATCGGCGGATTTCGAACTCGTAAGATGCATTGTTGATATTAACATGTAATATCAATTTCATATATATCCCACATGAACCAATGTGAGACATCTAACAATCAAATTTTCTATATAATTTACAGTTCAATTGAGAATTATTAATTGATTGGCACTGATTTTCAAAATCCTCCGAGACATTGCTGATAAAAACAATTAAAATCTGACCACAAATGTTTTGAAAACGTTTGAAAAGCAATTTTCCGTATGTCACGAGGCATAAATCTCGTAAAAAAGTTGATCGGCGCTAATTTTCGGACTTATATACTCCTCTAAAATCAATTTCATAAAAACACAACAAAACTAGATAGAGAGCACCCCCTCTAATTATTAACATTCAGTAAGGGCATTTCTTCCTTAAAAAACAGTTCATCGGTACTGATTGTCGAACTTGTCCAATACATGATATAAACTTTTAATATAAATTTTATGAAATCGTACAAGAAGTATAGGCGTCAGACCGCTAATCGTGCAATTTCCCATACACTTTACATATGTACATTGTCAGAAAATATAAAATTTATTTATATGAGCTTAAGAAACATGACGAAAAGCAAGGCTCGCCGAACTTTTCTCCTGTTTCGTAGCGAGTACAACTACATTATATAATTAAGAAAATGCACATATATTGTTTTTATCCTGTAATTTACACCAGGCACTTTAAGATTAAGTTGTTCAATTCCAAATAGTTGTCTCTTATTTTTCAAAGAAATCGACAGTTTAAACGCGGATCGAGAAGAGAACCCCAAAATGAACTGTTCACATTACCGATTGCTCAATATAGAAGCGGAGTAACAGAGTACAAATAAAGCAGAAATCTATTTGTGTACATAATATTTGTAAGATAGCTGGCTGATTGCAGGATAAATACCGAATAAATAGTTCATCTCCGCGAATTTTCAAATTAGTATGAGACATTGCTGATGTTAATTTCATAAAAATCCTACAACTAGTGGGTGTGATAACACTAACAATGCAATATTCCGTATAATTTGTATTCCAAAGGGGCATAACCTCTGTCTAAATACTTCATCGGCAATACGTGTTTTTGAAGGGTTAAAAATGCAATTTTCCTATAATTGACCTTTCCAACAGGAATAACCGAGTACAAATAATTAATCGGCGCTGATTTATGAACATGCCCAACATATTGCTAAATTAACCTTTTATATAAATTTCATAATAATGTGCTAAGAACTGCTGGTGTGAGAACGCTTACATTCCAATTTTCTATATACTATAAATTTTACAGTGGTTCAACTTCTGTAAAAATAGTTGATCAATTTTAATTTTTGAACTTGACCATGAAATTACCTATATAAATCTTTTGATATGCATTTTATAATGAGTTGAAATGTTTCCACTTCCTCAGGTAAAGTTGACCAAAGATAGAGTTGGTTATCATTTTTAGGTCAGCTCTTAAACTGTACCGTTTCTTATACATCCTCTTCTACAGGCTTTCAGTTATTCGTCTTTGAGCGTTCCTGATGGGAGGTAAATTCAGAAATGCGCTGTGTACGTATGAAATTTATAATTAGTGTTGTTTTCAATTTCATTCATAAATCAATCTCCATCCTTATAGTTTTAGGAAAATAAGAGTAGATGCGCACCACCTATCACTCAATTACAATTAATGTAAAATTGTATGGATAAAGCAAGAACGCATAGGATAAGCGAAATCAATTGAAATTTAAAACAAATTATTCTATTTTTATAAAAATCTAAAACACAAAAAAGAGGTAGACAAAAAAAATTCATAAGGGGTTCTGCGGAACGCTGTGTCTCACCTGCGATTGCTGTTGTCAGTGTATATGTGTAATGTTAACTGTAAACAAGAGTGCACATGCTGAAATGTCTCGCCTGCTTTACTGACCATTGATTTTATGTTGAAAGTCTTAAAAATAAAGGTTTAACTAAAATCATCACAGAAACTCGGGTCAGATAAATGATGTCAGACAGACATATACACCTTACAATTTTTTTATACACAAATTGCTTATGATAATTGAAAAACAGACCAAAACAAAAAATACTCATTATTGACCAATGAACCGTGAAAATGAGGTCAAGGTCAGATGATATCTGCCAAACAGACATATACACATTACAATCATTCCATACACCAAATCTAGTTGACTTGCTTATAGTACTTGATAAACAGACCAAAACACAAAAACTTAACATTGACCAATGAACCATGAAAATTAGGTCAAGGTCAGATGATACCTGCCAGACAGACATGTATACCTTGCAATCATTCCATACACCAAATCTAGTTGACTATTGCTTACTGTACTCGGTAAACAGACCAAACCACAAAAACTTAACATTGACAAATGAACCATGAAAATGAGTTCAAGGTAAGATGAAACCAGCCAGACTGACATGTACCCATTACAGTCATTCCATACACTACATATAGTTGACCTACTGCTTATAGTATTTGAAAAACGGACCTAATCACGTAACTTTTACCTTGATCACTGATCCATGAAATGAGGTCGAGGTCAGATGAACCCTGTCTGACGGACATGCAGACGTTGCAAGGAACCCATATACCAAATATGGTTATCCTATTACTCGTAATAAGTGAGAAATTCACATGACAAAAAAACTCAACTTTTTTTTTCAAGCAGTCGCTGAACCATGAAAATGAGGTCAAGGACATTGGACATATGACAGGCGGAAACTTCGTAACATAAAGTATCTGCATACTAGATATGAAGCATCCAGGTCTTCTACCTTCTGAAATATAAAGCATTCTACAAATAGTTTACGCCGCTGCCGGATAGTAATACCTTTGTCTCGCATACTGCGACTTTCGTCGCAGGCGAGACAAAGACTAAGTCCATCTATCAAAAAATACTGAAAATTAACAGAATATTTTTTCAAAAGTTTGCTTCAGACATTATCTCTTAATCATAAAATGCCAACGTTTCATAAAATTCTATGGTGGTTTGACAAAGCAATCTATGTGTAACAAACTTTAACCCCAGACTGTAAAAAAAAACTAAGTACATTTATCAGTAAAATACGGGAAAAAAATGAAAATAAATATTTTCAAAATTTTGCTCTGGATAGTGTCTTTTGGTCATAAACAAGCTTCTGTCCGAATTTCATAAAATTCCATGAATCCATGAAAGTTTGACAAAGTTATTGATGACCTCAGACTGAATCTAAATGTTAACTGTAAAAAAACTAAGTCCATCTATCAGTAAAATACGGGAAAATGAAAATATATATTTTCAAAATTTTGCTCTGAATACTGTATTTTGGCTATAAACAAGCGTCTGTCCAAATTTCATAAAATTCCATGAAAGTTTGACAAAGTTATTGATATCTAAAAAACTTTAACCACAGACTGAACCTAAATGTTGACGCCGCCGACGCCGACTACGGAATCTAAGATCTCTATGCCTTGCTTTCGCGACATAAATGTCGCAGGCTCGACAAAAAGGACCGGTGTTCTTCAACGTACACCGGTTATTGTCAGTTAGTGATGAAAATTACAGAAAATTTATGTCTGTTTAACATTCGTAACTGGCAAACTAAACAAGAATTCAAATTTTTATTCTCGTATAAAAACATAACAAAATAACATAAAGAAAAACAATAAAAACTAAATGTAACATCCTAGTACAATGTCCATGCATGTGCTATTTTATAACTTTAAAGATCAATCACACATCCGATCACTCATCAGTCCCTGAAATCTTGTATACTCGCACGAAAAACCCAATCCATATCCATCTACTTAATCATGATTCCTTATAAACAACCTATGAATGATATATCCGGCAATTAACAATTCTATCGCCCATATCAATGTTATTACCATCCAATCAATATTATAAATCGCCAAAATAATCGTAATCCGTCCCTTTATTTATATATCCGTCCAATCATTCATCTATTTGTTAAGTCACGCATATATCCGTCGGTTTAATGTAATAGTCGTCGAATCAATGATAAACCCAACCAATAATTCATATATCCGTCCAATTAATAATATATCCATTCAATCATGTATATACTCGTCCAATCATTTAAATACCCTTTCAATCAATTATATATCCGTCCATTCATGCATATATCCGTCCAATTAATAATATATCCATTCAATCATTTATGTATACTCGTCCAATCATATACAAATATCCTTCCAATCATTTATATATCCGTCAACCATTTATAGATCCGTCCATTCATGCATACATTTGTCCAATTATGCTATATCCGTCCAATCATGTATATATTCGTCTAATAATTTTTATATTCGCCCAATTATGCTATATCCGTCCAATCATGTATATATTCGTCTGATAATTTTTATATTCGCCCAGTAGTTCATACACCCGTCAATTCATTTATAGATCCGTCCAATCATTAAATATTCGTCCAAACATTTATCTACACGTCCAGTCAATATATGTATTCGTCCAATCAAAGAGATATATCCATAACTGTGTACATCTATTTATCAATTTGTCAATTCAGCTATACACAAAAGCAAATTTCACAAATGTAGATATCACTGAATTATTTTTCACTTCGATTTCAAATGAATTTGAAATAAAACTTGAATTCAATTAGAAATTTACGTGGATTTTTTTTCACATAAAATCAGCACTGACGTGTTACTGGCGTGTTAACACATATTCAAACAAAATAATATCAGAAAGTGTTTGCTAATATCAGATAATGATAAATCTAGTTATCTATCTTATACCCTGTATTCGGATTGCCATCTTTGCTTTTTAATGTTACATCAATCTTTAACTTATTGGTTTTAATGTTACTTCAATCTTTAACGCATTGGTTTTAATGTTACTTCAATCTTTAACGCATTGGTTTAAATGTTACTTCAATCTTTAACGCATTGGTTTTAATGTTACATCAATCTTTAACTTGTTGGTTTTAATGTTACGTCAATCTTGAACTCGTTGGTTTTAATGTTACATCAATCTTTAACAACTCGTTGGTTTTAATGTTACATCAATCTTTGACTCGTTGGTTTTAATGTTACATCAATCTTTAACTCGTTGGTTTTAATGTTACATCAATATTTAACTCGTTGGTTTTAATTCTACATCAATCTTGAACTCGTTGGTTTTACATACATGTATAAATTTGTATTTATATTCGGGTTCAAATATCCAACATTAGACTTCATGTGTATTAATGTCCGCCCTGAAAATACAGAAATGATAAATTTTAACTAAATTATTTAGATAGATGCAATGAGAGTTTGGTTACTACAGTGAATTTTGTATTTCAATAATATTCAAAATCTGATATTAAAGTATTTGAAAACTATATTTCTGAAAACAAATGTCAATACATGCTTTAAGTTTATTTATGAAGTAAATCTATTATAAACATGAAAGAGGTATAAAAAAGATATAAAATAAATGGGGAATGTGTCCATGGACACAGATGATGCCCCCGCTTGCATATCATATAAAATTATAAAAGGACATAACTGAAGAACGGTAAAAGTGACACTACCCAAATGTGTACTTGCATTGTATCATAGATCAAATTTATTTGTTCAGTGTATGTCCACTGGTGTTAATATGTCTTTTGATTGAGTAAAGCCATTTCATTGATATTTTATAGTGTGTTTTTCTATGTTGTGATGTTACACTATTGTTTCAGATAAGGGTGAAGGTTTGGTACCATTAAAACGTTAAAACCCGATGCAATTGTTTGCACCTGTCCTAAGTCAGGAATCTGATGTTCAGTAGTTGTCGTTTGTTGATGTGGTTCATAAGTGTTTCTCGTTTCTCGTTTTTTTTATATAGATTAGACCGTTGGTTTTCCCGTTTGAATGGTTTTACACTAGTAATTTTTGGGGCCCTTTATAGCTTGCTGTTCGGTGTGAGCCAAGGCTCCGTGTTGAAGACCATACTTTGACCTATAATGGTTTACTTTATAAATTTTGACTTGGATGGAGGGTTGTCTCATTGGCACTCATACCACATCTTCTGATATCTATTGATCTGTATTTTGTGGTAATAAGCATTGTGTATAAGTTTCATAACATTTGGTTGAGGCAAACTAAAGTTAGAGAACGGAAACCAACTTTGGGACAAACGGATGAACAAGGGTAAAACTTAATGCCCCCGCCGCTACTATAAGCAGATCCTGCTCCCCATGCGACACCCGTCGTGTTACTCCTATGAAAACGTCAAGTTCTATAAAGTGATTAGGCACAACACGATAGATGATTGGTAATTGACTTTTATCTAACTCTAAGACATCACCAAATTAATAAACCATCGGTCATGCAAAGTTTCTAAGCCTGAAACTTGACCGCATGTAAAAATTTGAAAAAAATGTTTTCCATGACAAAGGAAAAACAAGACTGTTGCCAGTATAAACAAAATAAACATTGAAAAATTAAAAAGCACAAAGAACAACGCTTAAAACGAAAGCAATACCAATAAGAACCCCTTTTAATCCAAACTCGGGATGATCTCAGGTGCTCCGAAAGTGTAAGCAGATACTGCTCCACATGTGGATAATATTATATGTATATTATTGTTTAACATTCCCTATCTCTCATGGTGAAGTTAATGTCCGCACAATAGCAAAAACCTTTACATGATTAATGGAGAAAGAAGTAAGCTTTACAATCATTCTTTGTTAAATTCAGTTACAATCCATAATCTTTTCGGTCAAAATTTCACATTGATTAACCATGGGCCATAGCTCCCACCATATTTTTAGTCAGCATTCATTTTCCAACTCAATGAGATATTGTTAATAAAAGCTTTGCATATGTATTTCGTCATAGTTCAAACGAATCGTAAAGACAAAAACACTTGTTAAATAGTCAACTTTTCATTACCAAAGATCATAACGCCTATAAATCGACATTAGGCCTTGAAGCTCGACAAAGACAGTGTTGATATAAAGTTTAATCATAACATTTTTGTAAACCAATGAAGAAATTTAATGGTGATAGGGTAATCATGGCACATCATTCCTCTCGTCAAGGGTCACAACTCCAAAAATATGCTTGAGTGTTATGGTTCAATCATGATATCATTAATACAAATCTCTCATATAAAATCATCGAAATCCGATATGAACTATGCGATTGAGAGCAATATAGCAAAAAAATTACATTGGCCTTGCTATATACTATATAACACAGTAGTCTCAGTGAGCATTTACTATACAAATTTTCGATCAGCACTGGTTTTTGGACTAGATCTAGATATCGTTGATATGAACCTTGTGCATTCACATTTTCAAAATCTGCCATGAACTAAGGGTCAAAGTTCTAAAAATAAACTCTTTTTATCTGCCTTCAAATAAACAGAAACTTACCTGTCCAGGATTGTTCTTTAGTGAAAACAAAAGCTAGACATTGTTCATCTGCATTGCAAAGCGCTTCCGCTTCCTGTAGGTCAAACACTGATACAGTACATCCGTATCCGGTCAATGATAACCGACACGGGTAATCATATATTCCAGGGAGATCTTGGTATGGTATTTTATTATAAAGAACTGAAAAACAATAAGCAATGAAATATTCAATTTTTGGCATTATTAGGAAATGTAACTATTTTTATCATATTTGATAATTAATCTCGTTTGTACTTGTATAATTAACAAATTAAGAAGACAAAGCTAGAACTATTTAAATCCTGTTGCAAGACGTCTTGAGACTCGCTAGAGATTTCAATAATGATGAAAACAGCCATCTTCTAAAAAACATCATCAATCAGATTTCTTATCCTTGTTCTAATTGTAATAAAAAGAGTTCGTTACATTTATTATTTGTATATGCATTCAAGTTTTCTATACAACAATAATTCCATCACGATTTCTGTAAACATTTAAACTATGCATCATCATTTTTCATGCTACACACAAAAAAAAAACAGTCGTTCATCTCTTAATCCGTACGACAGTGGTAAAATCAAATTATCTCAAAATAAAAGGTAGGAATTTTACAAGGAATGCAAAAAAGCCAATAAACTCTCACTTGAAATAAGAATTCAAGTTTGAAAATTGTTCACACTTCGTCCCTTTTCAGCTCCTTATATACTTAGTATCTATTGTCTGTGTATTGCATATTTTATTGTTTATAATAATATTGTTTGTATGCTATATTCCCTCCTGGGGCCCTAATTTGGTAAATAAAAATATTCTATTCTATTCTATACTGAGAATAACTATGATTTATAGTACTCTTAGTTATATGTTTCGTTTACAGAAGACTCATCAGTGACGCTCGAATAAAAAAAGTTAAAAAGGCCAAATAAAGTTCATTGAGGACCCAAGATAGAGTTTTCATAGTTATCATTTTTAACAGAGTTTCAGGTAAATAAAAAGTAAATATATACATAAAAACAATTTTTAACAAGAATGTGTCCATAGTACAGGGATGCCCCACTCGCACTATCATTTTCTATGTTCAGTGGACCGTGAAATTGGGATTAAAACTTTAATTTGGCATTCAAATTAGAAAGATCATATCATAGGGAACATGTGTACTAAGTTTCAAGTTGATTGGACTTCAACTTCATCAAAAACTACCTTGACCAAAAACTTTAACCTGAAGCGGGACAGACGGACGGACGGACGGACGGACGAAAGGAAGGATGAACGAACGGACGCACAGACCGAAAAACATAATGCCCCTCTACTATCGTAGGTGGGGCATAAAAACACTCTTTGCACAGATACTCATAGTCCATGAAATACGGGTATCATCGCTACACTATTATGATGGGGGGGGGGGGGGGGGGGGGACCAAATAAACAAAACAAAACAAAACAAAAAAACCGACGGTTCTGAAAACATTACAGGAAATACAAACCCATCACGAAAAACGTCATGTACCCCCATTTCCTATTTCTTAACAATTCGAAATGGTGCAAAATTTAGATAAAAGAAAATCTGCATTCGAATTTTATTGGGATCCGCAAAAACATGAATGTATTAAAGCTAACGATTCTACCATTATGTAATATTTGATTCAGATTTTACCTGACGACAGCATTAATCTATGTTTTTGGATTAAGATTATTACTTAAAGTGCTTACACATGGTTCGGGAAAACTGCTGTCCAGGCTATGCAAAAAAATAAGTTCACACTGAGACAAGTCCAGTCTTCCAACGAAAAGACTTTCACCTCCGATAATAGAATTTGTCCAAGATTTCTGTAAATTCAAACTTTAAACTTTAACATGATAGAATAAGAAATGACAACACTATCCAGGCGATAATAATGATGACAGGCTGACGGACAGACTGACAGATGGTCGATCGTACTGGCTAAAATCAGTATCTCAACGTCTTTGATGGAGTATGATTATCAAGAAATAACAAATGTCCGACTTCGACCATATCGGATATTTTTTCAAAACTCGTAAACCGGAACTTTTTTTTATGTCTTGGACTTAAATCTTCATATTGGGTTCATATTTCAAAGAAAATATAGACCTTTCGAAAAGTGTTAAGTACGAGAAGGTTCAATCAACCGTTAATGACAATTCTTACTAGGAACTATCACCGGTATATTTTTTTCCTGAAGAAACAAGTTGTAGACCTTGTTGGTGGTTGAGTATATACATATATTAAGAAAATGTCGTCTCGCACCTTTAATTCAGAACTTGACCATGCTTTGCTTTTTTCGATTTACCTTTTGTATGTGTACCATTCCGGTTCAAGTAACTACCACTCCCGTACATTTGCACAATTTTGTCCATCAAATATAAGAGTTGTTTGGTGTTCATAGTAACATTAGAGTAACCAAGTACGACTCTGTCAACTAATGGCTGCAAGCCTTTTGGAACACCATGAGGCAGGAGGAATGTGGTAAAATGTCGTCCAGCGTTAAAAATGTTCTTTTTCTCGTTATGTCCAATACACCTTAAATTCTGACAAGATATTCTGAAATATATTAAATCAGTGTTTCTATTTCATTCAGTATGCAACATAAATTGATAAAGTATGAAGTAAATAATGAGGGTTTGGTGGATATTTCACATATTAGATAGCAAATATTAGGCAAAAATATAAAGAATAGAGAAAAAAAGGACAAAAAGATTAATTAAAAGAGAAAATTTTCATGGGATGCTAAGATATAAAAAAAAAAAAAAAAAGAAAGATGGTCTAGAATTTTTTTTTTAAATACAAATACGAAGACCCTCTCCTCAACCACCACCACCAACAATCAAGACCCTCAATTATTGGTGAGAAGCGGAGATCCATCTTTTTACACAGTAGGACTTTTTTGTTTGTGGTATCGATTTTACTAGTTGTGTCATATATTACAAATATTCCTTGCGTGAGTCCAATTACTATCTAAAAGTTGTAAGAGGTTAAACCAACTGCAAATCTACAAATGCAATATTACCATTTATTTATTATACAACTGAGAGATACAACCGTTGAATCATACAATTCCAAACTATTTACATGACGTCTGCATTTGCGCACACAATATCAGACCATCAATCGCCTTGGAATCGATGTTTAAATATGTGCAGTTATCCGATCAAAATGACATTTACAAACAGTTTTGTAAAAGTATACCTATCTGTTTTATGATATATTAATGTCTTTTGATTGTACCATAGCATTGAACCGTGAGGATTCGTATTAAGAGAAAGGATAAGGTTCACTCTAGGCCAAATATGGCCTTGAATTTCAACTTTATCATAACATTTCCAAATGGCCATAATTTGGTTCGTAAATGGACCTTTTTCAAAAGCCTTACAACTAGTTAAACAAATATCTTCATTAGAGTACATTCTAGGCTTCAAAGTCAGCAAATTTGTATATATTGTCAAAATACGATGATTTTATGCATTTTCGGACATAAACGCGTAAGGAAACCCTTGGCCGCAACCTAGGATCCTAAAAGTTCTGTAGCCAAAAGTTTTCAATTGTGATATTGAATCCCTAGACACAAAAACGTTCTGGATCAGGGGTGGTGGTCAAAGTAAATTATGTTAAAAACCGTTAAGAATTATTGTAAAAATTTGACCAAAACTGACGTTACAACACAAATAATGCATACTTAGGGGGTCATCACTTCGTCATTTTAATGTATTGTGCGAAACAGACGACATTTTGTACTAGTTGTTATAGCACAACTGTTTCTATGTGAAATGCCGGTGTAGTATTTTGGCCTGATTAAAAAAAAACATCAAAATCTTAGGGCCAATTTTAACCCTTCGCGAACTTACCCCAACTTAATCGAACAAATTTGATAACAGAATATTGGATATTTTACCTTTACTACTTCACTATGATTTATGACTATTATTTTGGTTTTTGGTGAAATGGAAGCCGTTGCAATCCAGATAAATTAAGCAGAAATAGTTTACCTCAACGAGAAGTTGGCATTTGGAAAGGTAACAGTACAATCGTCATCTGTTTGGCAAATTGGGTCGCCGAAACCTATATCATCAACATCGGATAACTTTATTTCATCATTTACCCTGACAAACTGTTGCCTCCGGAAATCATTGATAGAAATTGTCCCAAACTGATTGTGTGCCATGAAATATAACAACTTTGTAATGTCGTACGCAACCTAAGAATAAAGAAATAACAATTACAACACAAAATAGAAATTTATGTGCTAATAAAAGATAAATTACATCTACAACGCGTCAAAAAACGCTATTAAAAGTTTATTATCGTCAAGGTAAAGGGACATAACTTTTAAAAATCGCTGGTACGCTTGTGTCAAGCATTTTCATAAACATCTTTAAAGCTTCTGATAGACAAAGGTTATTTTCTTTTTGGCCTTCATATGAATCCTTATAAATAAATTTGAAACTGCCTATTACAAACGCAGTAATGATTTAAACAGGTATTTCCCTTTACCATTGCTCAATCCCTTAAACATCATCACAACAAAAAAAAGTGAACATGAAAGGAAAGCAAAAGTGGAAGGAAAATAGTATTAATCGATTCTGTCAGAAAAATCCCAAGACACCAAATCTGTTAGGAGAAAGATTAATTAACAAATGGGAAAGCATGGAAAATATTAAAGAGAATAAACATTGCATGATCTATCGTCTCATTTATTTTACACGTGCTCCATGATTCAGTGTGTTGGTTTTCTATGAAGGTCACGATTTGGTGCACTTCGACACCAAAATCCGAAAGTTAATTAGCAGTCAAACTTTTCGATGAACAATCACCGAATGAAAAAAATTGTGTTGCTATTATATACGTTATGGATTCGTAATAAATGTTAAAATCATGCACAGAGGACACCTACAGAGGACTTAGTTGAGTATGCAATAATTTCTTTAACATTATAACTACTAGAAACTCGTTATCATGCATATGACTTTAAATGATTTGTATTTTTTAAACTGGTTATATGTCAGCACTGTTTTTCTTTGACTCTAAAATTATTCATCATTGAACCTATCCAATAACATTTACACCTTATGAATAAGATTTCTGACCGTGTTGTACTAAGAGTAAATACCGCAGAGTTGATGAAAAGAAAATGTAGAAATTTGTTCATTTCAAACAAATCATACCAACTCCCAAATTGAAATTTAGTTGATCGTGTCTTGCTGGTCATTTTTACCGCTTACAGTGTCATTCTATCTTCTATAATGTTTGCCCAAAATGAAAAAGGGTAAACATCGTCATTTAAAGGCAATAATTCCTATAAGGAGTTGACTGACAATTCGGGCAATGCTAACTTATTTTCATATCTTGTCTTGCTGATCATTCTTGCTATTTAATTTGTTTATCTATATAATATTATAGTTTTTAAAATAAATGTAATAGGCAAAAACACATATTTTGGTAAAATTGTCTTTAAGCGCAATAACTCCTATAAAAAGTCAGCCAATGATTTCGGCAACATATAACTCACTTGTAGATCTTGATTCGTGGATCATTTTTGCTTTCTTAAAGTTTCTCTCTATCTATTATAGTTTTAAAATAATAGGCAATAAGTATTTTTTGTTGTTGTAAAAATCGTCAATTAAGAGAAATAACTTCTATAAAAGTCAACGGGCGATTTCGGCCATGTTGACTTATTAGTAGATATTGTCTTGTTGATCATCTATGCTATTTAAAGTTTCTACCCAACTATTATAGTTTCAAGATAATAGGCAAAAGCGCAACAAATTGGTAAAACAATCGTCATATAAGCAAAGGGCAATAAATCCAATAAGGAGTCAACTGACAATTTAAGACATTTGACTTATATGCAGTTCGTGTCTTGCTGATAATTTTTGTATTTTTAAATTTTCTATCTATCTATTATAGTTTTCAAGATAAAAGGCAAACATGAAAAAATTGTAAAATTCGTCACTTAAGGACAATAACATATCTATAAGTCGTCTGACAGTGTTTATGTCAATGAACAGTAGGTATATCTCAGCTTTCTTAACATTTCAAATTTTCTCTAGTTATATTATAGCGTTTTTCGAGATAATCGTCAAAACTTGCATTTTACCCCCAATGTTCTATTTTAAGGTATGCCGGCCATGTTGGTTGGCAAGCCGAATCATTGGACACATGTTTGTCAAACTAGATACCTCAATGATGATTGTGGCAAAGTTCGGTTCCAATTGGCCCAGTAGTTTCAAAGGATAAGATATTTTTTGTAAAAGTCAACGGACGATGGACGACGGACGCCAAGTCATGAGAATAGCTCACAAGACCTTTGGTGTTTGCAAGCTTCAATTTTTATTCATTGTATATTATAATCATGTCTCACCGATATCGGTGCACACGGCCCGTGTTTCTGTAATAAACTTCACCCGGTGCTCTTAAGACCAAATGTTTGGAAAGCGAACGAGGGTGTCAAAACCAAAATATCGCAATATAAAAGCCAAATCGTCCTAAGTATAGCTCAAGATTAATATCCGCCAGACTGCCCAAGGTCGATTTAGCTTGATAGATTTGTAACCTTTTTAAAAACGAACAAAGGAGACAACTTTAGTCCCATTCGGTACAACAAAAAATACATAATTAATAACATGAAGTTAAAGGTACAAAAAATACTGATATTATGAGCAAAAGTGTTTCTCCTGGTGAAATTACAAGATTAATACAACAGACTGCTGTACAAAAATCATTAATAATAAAAACAAACAGTCATTATAAAGACATTTAAATTCTTTAAAGACAGCTCTTACGTAATACTTGTTTTGGATTAACGTTTCCACGTGGTACGCATCAATTATATTTTTGACACGGGAGTTTAAAATTCTGATAGTATGCACATGCTACATGTGCTAGACAAAATGTAATCTTGAGAGATTTGTTAACTGAAACTTTCCATATATCATGTCAGGAAAGATCGATGTATTCTAATGCAACTGCAAGCCAGACTCCTTGTTTACTGATTACAATTCTTACCTGACATTTCTGTTTGTGTGTATAATATTATAACAGGTAAAGGGAAAAAAAACGATCGAATATATATATATATATATATATAATATCCAGAGTTCAGATGGACTGACAGAAAAGCGGGGGTTTGGGGTTGGTAATGGTATCACATAATATGACCCGCCAAAACTTAATATCGCTCTTTTACAACTCAACTTTCAGCACTATTGGCTATATTTGGTGGTCAGTTTTATTGGTGGAGAGTTGAAAAAAAAATCCACCTCGGTTTTACGTTATATCGATAGAGGGAGAGAGATTTAATGTACATGCCTTGAGTCTGTCCTCCCATGACATTTGTAAAAGTCTAATCAGTTCTACGGGATCCCCTAATTCTGTTACCATGGAGACGTCGTATAGATTGTCACTTGTAATACAGAAACCAAACACCTACAAAATAAACTTTTTAAATCTCTTTTTGTCTTCCGATGAATATTTAATCTTTCGTGTATATTTGAATGCTTTTTCTGTGGCTCTACCCGACTGAGGTAACTGATGTGGAACATTCCGTGTCAAATTTATATGTATGCTGCAGGAACTACCTAACCGTCCGGAGCACCTGACTGACCTCCAATTTCTGAAGGATCTCGTGTTGCTCAATCTTTAGTTTTCTGTGTAGTATTTTAACTATTTTTTTTACTTGCTTGTCTGTCAATCTGATTAAAATACAGATATATTGCCATTCGCGTGCTCATATGAGGATTACGAAATCAGAGATTTTTATTTTAATTAGATTGGTTTGTCTGTTTGTCTTATATTTCTTTTGGCTAGGTTTACGTTGTCTTTTTTTTCTTCGTCTGGTTTCGCCTTTCTCTCGACTCTCTAATCTTTTTGTTAATGCTATAAGAATTTCGATTTGAATGCTTTATTGAAAATAAACGTTTGTTTTTATTTTACACCTTAATTTCGAAGTTTTGACCGGTGACATTATGGTCGCGTGCTCGCCTCAAGTATACTAGATATTGTGGTTTCGTTCCCCGGTCGCATCAAATCAAAGACCTGAATAATTACTGCTTCTTCGCTATGCAGTCGGCATTTAGGAATAATGTGTCCGGTTTGGATGACATGCCTTCCTGTGTACTGCTCACGTAAAAATCTGGTTACGCGTGTCGGTCTAGTTCAAAGCAGTATACACATTCATATTACATTAGCAGGTCGTCGTTCTGATATGCATATCAGGACTTTTTGTCACTGGATATTAAACAGGAATTCATCTAGGTCAACATGAATACGGCTAACATGCTTAGTTTATCTTTGAAACGTTCTGTAAGTGCCTGTCCCAAGTCAAGTGCCTGGAATTCAGTGGTTGTCGTTTGTTGCTGTACTAGTATATTATCATATTTGTATTTTGTTTATTATTTGTACATAAATCAGCCCGTTAGTTTTCTTGTTTGAATTGTTTTACATTTGTTATTTCTGGGTCTTTTATAGATTGCAATGCGGTATGGGATCTGCTCCTTGTTGGAGGCCGTACGGTGAAATATAGTTGATAACCTCTATGGCATTTGGTCTCTGGTGGAGAGTTGTATCATTGGCAATCTTACCAAATCGTGTTATTTCTATGTTAGGGTTTGTTGTGGCTCAAAGATTAGAGTCAAAAGATAATAAAAGAATAATGTAGGTTCTCTATGTCCATTGAAAAAATGGATATTTGATAGATATAATTAAACATATTTCCTAGATATGCAATGAAATAACAAGATATATAAAGAACCTTAATTAGTTTCATTTTTTTGTTTTGTTATTCATCTTGGCAATTACTTAAATATTTACAGTGATAAGGAAACAAACGAATTGAATAAACGCCCTATAACAACTTGAAGGTCGACGTATTCCCTATAACCTTAGATTGAGTGGTAACAATTGAATAGTATTGACTGATTACCGCTGAAAATATTTTTGGTTGTACATATATTATGCTCGAGTTATGAATGAATAACAGAGACAACTGGTGGACGCCTTGGTACAAATATCATTAGGCGTTTCCGACAGATCTATAAAAATAGCAGCAAATATAAAGATAACCCCAGACACCATTAAAAAAAACAGGAGCCTGTAATTCAGTGGTTGTCGTTTGTTGTTGGTTTTAACAAAAATCAGGCCGTTATAGTTTTCTCGTTTGAATTGTTTTAGATTTGTTATTTCGGGGCCTTATATAGCTTGCTGTATGCCGTATCGGTTTTGCTTATTGTTGAAGGCTATACAGTGACCTATAGTTGCGAACCTTCTAATTCTTCTACGTCATTTGGCGGAAAGTTGTATCATTGGCAATCATACCACATCTTTTCATTTCTATAAAGCTGCTTAAGCATATCAGCTAGTTACATCCACGTCATGTGTACTCTGGTGCGGGATAGTTGTCTCGTTGGCAAGCATAAATTATTCGTCTTATTTTATATAGTTATCTTCTGGTGTTTTGTGTCGTTGACTTGCTTTTCAGTCCTTGATGTATACCTCGCATGCATCTCTTTTTACAGTTTTTATTTATAGACTTACCTGGACAATATTTGGATGAGATAGTTTCTGTAGCAGGCTGATCTCTTTGACCAGTTTCTTGGCGGCCTTGTAAAAACACTTATCATACAAATGTCCTTCTTCTAAACAAGAAGATATATCTCTACCCTTGGGAAACACGGTCTTCACAGCATATGTCTTATTATTGTAACTTGCGCTATATACAGCTTTTGTCCACCCCGACGCTAGGAAGCGATAGTTTGTCATTCGGACCATATCTTGGCACCCTAAAGTAGCACTGTCTCTTGATAAGGGATAGAGATGTTCCAAATGAACACCTCTATCAAAAGATACTTCTGTAAGTTTCCGAAGTCTACTTTCAAATATACTATACATATCCATGGAGCTATGACGATGATTTGTCCCCCCGGGGTCAATCATGTTCTCTCGTTCTAATCCACTAAAAGTTTTGTGTAAAATCAGAACATTAATAAATATCACAATTATAGCGAAAAGAAAAACTCGTGTTTCCATTCTATATCTAGTCATTTTCTCGCTATAATAGTAACTTGACAATCCCGGCTCGCCAGATCTTTATCTATTTTACGAGAATACAATATAACCTCGTCCCGTTGTTCGCCAAAACTTTCAAGGGACCCAGATGAATTGATGTCTAACATGTGATGTCCGTTGTGACACAGTTTACTTTGTCATAACGATGACAGACTTTCTTTTTTTCTGACTCACACAACCCCATTGAAAATGTCAATATCCAACATAGAAGATTGCCTGTAATTTGTGCTGGTTTTAAGTTCCCTGGATGTCACACGCTGTGCCTTCTTCGCTTCTATCAATAGATGTATAGAACTGATAGTTTCAAACCTCTCACTGTTTAATACCTGTCACCAATAATTGCATTGACATCCACACGCTAATCATTTAACTGCACAGTAAAGCTAATTAGCGGTTAACAGACGATTTTATTCTGCATTGATTGATGGTGTGTAATTATACGGTTTAAAATATCTTGCATCTGTACTTTTAATTTACCTGGATAATGAAATGGTTCAATGTAAAACAGTTGCACCAAGAGCATGATACGCCCATCTCCCTTGACCATGAATAATTGATTGATTGATTTTGGTTTGGTTAACGTCCAGTGGCAAATATTGCATGCATTTTCAGGACGAGTCGCTCATAATAGTCAATGACAGGTATTTAAGAATTGAAAAGGATGTAGCATTTATAGATTGTTATAAAATTTTACGGGATTGAAAAACCGGACTTCGCGCAATTACTAAATAATTTGTTTTTGTGTTTTAAAATTGTTTACGGTAAATTATTCTTTAATATTTCAACTCATGTTCAGTTTCGTGGAAAATGAAAAGAGGGGCATCATATGATATAAACTACTGTTGTTGTCATATCGTATAAATAAGAGCAAGAACACATTTAATAAGTTAAAATATTAAAGAATATTTACTAAAATAAACGATTAAAATACACAAAAGAGGCCTTCCCAAAGCGCCTGTGCCTAAAATGGCGATTTTACACAAAAATTTGTTAAACTTAGTTATGAGCCCATGCTTTATCCAAAATTATATTTTACCCAAATTAAATTATCATTTTTGATAAAGCCTTATATTGGCTCATATCTAAACATAAATGACTAGATCTTAAAATGGGACTATTTTGGTAAATTTTGCAGTTTGGCATGAAATGCAAGAAGTATGAATCCCTTAAGCAAATTTGTAAGGTACAATGAAAAAATACATGTATATATACTGATATCAGCCAGCCAGGATTTTATTTGATAGATTTACGATATTTTCGAATTAAAAGGGCCAGAAAAGTGGTACGATCGTACCTTCTCCTTTTTTACAAACAAAATGCATGACGGTTTTGCTTAAATTCAATCTTTTATACATCTGACTCCTTGTACAGTTAGCATTCGATTTAGAAATTTGCAATCCAAAATATTCTGGATTTTTAGACCAAATTTGTCTCAAGTCCTTGAAGAATGACTGTCTTTACTCATCAGTACATTGTTAATATGAATATATTGAGATATCTGGTATACCCCCAACAAGATAACAACCTAGCGACCCCCCCCCCCTCCCCCCCACAAAAAAAAACCAAAACAAAACAAAACAAAAAAAACAACAACAACAAATATCTGCAGAGATATGCAATAAATAAAAAAAAAACATTTAGTTTCAGGAGTAAAACCTCATATCTTCCATCAGATTCGGCAATCAATAAGTGTCTATATGTAGCGTGGCAAGCTGCAAGTCGACCCGAGTCTCGGGAAATTTTGAATAACACGAGTTAAATATCGACCACCGAAGTAAAAGGATATACAGATGTTGAATAATTTTAGTACATAATCCAAAGGATAGTCGTTTGAACAGGGTTGATTTTAGCAGAAAGAACCATGCCGACAATTAAAGTTTTACAATAGAGATAAATTGGGTAATTTCAAAGCTTCTTGCTTTTTTTTTTGTTATTTATTTTATTTAGAATAAATGAAAATAATTTGTACTCTCTATACGCTTAAGCATAAACGTATACCTCTTTTAAAAAAAACCTGTTGCCAATATATATATAAAAAAAAGGTTTAGAATGTACTTGTAGAATGAGTTATTAAAATGGCATGAATGATCAATGCAGAAAAAATGTTCATTACACAAACTTACCTTGGTTGGTTTCCAGTCTGTTAATGTTGTAATAACAAATACCTGTAATCCTTTTATAAACCTGAAAGGTCACAGGCACGATTAGCTCCCTTGAAAACATCCATCTCATTACAAACTGAAAGTTTTATCTCATTTCTTATCTCAATTACATTTTAAAGTTTTTTTGCTTGTTTTTTGACATTCACGGTCTAATAACTTTTAAAACATTCAATTTTGACATTTGTTGAGTAGTTGTTTTATTAAAATCTTTATCAGATTAATCATGTGTCGGAGCGGTTTTAATTATCATCACCTGAGAGTAATTTAATATATATCTTAATCTTTAAACGTGATTCATTTTTTCATTACTGACAGGTGAAATTTACAATATTTCTGACACAAGCCTAATTCGTTTTTATTAGTAAAGACAAGTTACAAAGTTGATGCCTCAGAAATCGATGTAAGTATATTTATGTCGTTACAGTTTCATGCGGTCTCACGGAGGCGAAACAAAGTTAATTTGAGATTCTTTTCGCAACAGTTGAAAAATAATTTCCCGCATTAAGTGAACAAACCAACTAAAATATGTGTCAACCAAATCCTCCCACCCCCGAAAAAAAAGAAAAAAAAAAAAGATCTCTGGTGTCAATTTTAAGTTACATAAACTTTAATTACTACTTATAGACATTATTTTTTTCATTCAGTTATTTAAAGTTTTAATTTATGAAAACCACATGTTTTGAAATAGTACATTTTCCTTTAAAAAAAACCTCTATATTTCATGCACTACTTCTGATTTATATTGAACGACTCTAATTTAAAGGACCTGTACGTGTTATATTTCCAATTTTGTAGATTTGAAATTTCAAAATACATCTTTAACTTTAATAACGTACCGGAAAACTAGAGAAACATGCATGTTGCTTTCTGTACGTAAACATCGTTAACAGAAGAATTAAAAAAAATGCATTATCGCTGTCAAGAACAAAAATGCTTGCGTACCTAACATCGTACCAGAAAAATTTTACCCAAATGCGTGATTCACGGCTGTCAAGAACAGAAATACTTGTTCGATATACATGTATTTCAACTTATGTGTTAATGATTAGCAAGTTTTTTGGGAATATCTTGTTTTGTATCTAATAGAAAACTGATTGTTGTTATCATATATTCAGTTGCCAAGATACAATCAAGTGAAGTTATTTTTACAATTCTTCGTTTTTAAAACTATGTCGGGGTGAGTAGAACTTTCGGCAGGGGGTCTCAGGTTTTATATTTTATATATCGATATCGATCGAGAGAGAGAGAGAGTCTAACGCAATTTTATGCTGCTAAGACGCAGACACTAGGACACTTAAATAAAATTTGACACGTACATAATTTTAGCCGTGCGCTATAATCTCAAAAGCTGGTAAATACACAGATATCACATAACATTAGTTGCTCTACATTACACCTTTATTTTGCCAGCTCTTTCTAAAGAAATTCGGGTATATGATCCGTCTCTCCGTCAACTGATTTTCCTCACAGGTTGTCCGCCAAATTCTCTGTGGTAATAAATTGCTCTTCCTATTGTTTTAGAGAATATAGTTGCATAACATCTATGCAACCAGAGACATATATACAAAATATATTCCTATAAATTTTCAGATACAACTATGTGTAACCAGAGACATATATAAAATATATATCATATAACAAGGTTTTGATTTATGAATCAGGATAAGGATTCCACATCGCGAAAAAAATGTATTGACATTAACCTCAGTTTCACTTTTTTTGCCTGCAATAAGTAATCCGGCGGCGGCGGCGACAGCGTTGACAAATTGTATTTTAAAAATTTAACTAGGTTTATAACTTTTGAAAGGTCTACATATTTATTAGAAGCTGGATACTTGACCTTGACTTCATTTTCAAGGTGCTCTTTTTCTAAAAGTTAAAAAAAAAGTATGCCCATGCCATTACTCCAATGAAGTATCGTCTGACAATTGAGGTATGACTTTTAAAGAATATGTATATATAGTGATGCTCTTTTAAGGATACAGTTATTTGGAGAGATGACCACTTGATTGACTTGTTTAAATACAATGGGGAAAAATTATTAAAATTCAGCCATCATCTCGCCCTATATCAATCTTTATATTCGGTCATTTGATCAGATAGATATGTCTTATTTTGACTCCATTATCTTAAGTCATCATCGATATCGATCGACATCGACATCGGGTTTTGTCATTGGTGTCGCCATCTAAATCGACATCTGGTTATGTCATGAGTGAATAAATTCATCGATATTGATTCGATATCGACATCTGGATTAGTCTTGGACATGTGACAATTATGATCGGTTTGGTTTTTTTAGATATTGATTTTCTAAGCATTGTCGCTCCTTTCATTTCCCTTGTCAAAAATCGTATTTTAAAGGCAGTAACTTCTATATGGAGTCAAGTGGTGGTTTCAGTCATATTGGCATTTTTGTAACAAATATAATTGGTTAAAATGGTAATTTTAGGGCAACAACTCAAATGAAGAGTCAACTGTTGACAGTTTCCGGTCATGAATTTTATGCAAAAATGCTGAAATTGTTCAAAATTCGTCTTTTAAGGACAATTAGTCAGAATTCTAAAATTGATTAAAAAAGTTGTCTTTTAAGGGCATTAACCCCAGAACCAAGTCCATGTTGATTTCAGTCATATGGTGTTTTATAGATCTTGAATTGCTGAAATTGTTTGCTGTTTACAGTTTCTTTCTAAAAGTTTCAAGATCATATAATAAGTAAAAAAAATGTCTTTCAATGGCAATAAGTCCTATAATGAAGACAATGTTTCTGTTTATTTTTTGGTAGATCTTGTTTTGCTGATCATTTTGCTGTTTTTGGTTTGAAGACAATATGGGGAAATAAATGGAGAATGTGTCTATGGGCCACAGATGCCCCCGCTTGTAAATATGCAAGAGTCAATGTACTAATTATTGAAATTTTCTTTTCTTTTAAAGTTAATGACATATATTTCTACATGTTGTTATTAGAAATTGCTTGCAGGTTTGAGTGCTCTCATTGTTCAATAACATTTGGTTGAGGCAAACTAAAGTTAGAGAACGGAAATGACAGATTTAGCAATTTTTCCATTTATAAAGGGGCATAACTCACGAACGGTAAAAGTGACGCCACCCAATTTCAAACTTGATCGGTGTTTTGTGGTAATAAGCATTGTGTATAAGTTTCATAACATTTGGTTTAGGCAAACTAAAGTTAGAAAACGGAAACGAAAAATTCAGCAATTTTTATGTTTATAAAGGGGCATAACTCATGAACGGTAAAAGTGACGCCACCCAATTTTGAACTTGATCTGTGTTTTGTGGTAATAAGCATTGTATATAAGTTTTATAACATTTGGTTGAGGCAAACTAAAGTTAAGAGAACGGAAACCAATTTTGGGGACGTACGCGACGGACGGACGGACGGGACGGACAAGGGTAAACCTTAATGTATATACTTAGTATATACGACGGGGTTATAGAAATACAGAAGCAACATAAAGGTTCATAAACTGAGTTGTTGATTATGAATGTCCATTAGAAGAAACAATTTGACTGATTTTATCCTTTTAACTTTGATGTTCATATTTTCTCTCATTCTATAATATGATATAGTTTTCAAGATTATAAATAAGAATAATAAAATTAGCCAAATATTGTTTAGTGAGATCCATGATCACAGACCACAGACAATAGATGCAAATCTATTTCAAAAGCTCAATCTAGACCTTTGGACCAGGTGAGATAACAAGAGGCTCTCAAGAGCCTGAATCGCTCACCTGTATTTCAGAAGAAAGATTTTTAAATGTTAGCAAACTTGATGAACAAATTGTGTAAATTTGTCTTTCAAGGGCAATAGCTCCTTAAGGGGTCAATTGACAATTTTTGTCATATTAAATTTTTTGTAGATCTTACTTTGCTGAACATTATTGCTGCTTACAGTTTATATATATCTATAATAATATTCAAAATAATAACAAAAAACTGCAAAATTTTGTTAAAACTACCAATTCAGTGGCAGCAACCCAACAATGGGTTGTTCGATTCGACTGATAATTTCAGGGCCGATAGATCTTGACCAATTAAACAATTTTACCCCATGTCACATTTGCTCTAAAAGATTTAGTTTTTGAGATATAAGCCAAAAACTGCATTTGACCCCTATGTTCTATTTTTAGCCATGGCGGGCATGTTTGTCGATGGATCAAAACTTCGGATACAATTTATAAACTAGATACCCTAAGGAACATTTAGTTAAAGTTTGAAGGTAATTGGCCTAGCAGTTTCAGAGGAGAAGATTTTTGAAATAGTTTACGACGACAGACGACAACGACAGACGACGACGGACGACGACAGACGCCAAGTGATGGCATAAGCTCACATGGGGCCCTTTGGGTCCCGGTGAGCTAAAAAGGAAGGTCCATGCCCACCAAACTCATGTGCAGGTTTGGAGGACCAGATACTGTTTCACAAGTTTGCAAAGTAGAGTCAAAGTTTAATAGATAACTGGTGTGTTCTCATTGAATTATTTCATAGAATGTCTCAATCAAACATGATTTTTACATCTCTACTCTTTTATGATTATGGAACTAAGAAATACCAAAATGAAATGCTTAAAAAAAATCACCATTTTATAAATCAAAGCAAATTTTAAGATTATTCTAACTTCTTGTCAATGAATTGCTCAAACAAAAGAATTCTTGAGAGCACATTTTAAGATACTGCACTTTCCTTGATAATTTCCTTCATTCTTTCTCTATTCTGTGACTTGTCCATATAAAAATAAGAAGATGTGGTATGATTGCCAATGAGACAGCTCTCCACAAGAGACCAAATGACACAGAAATTAACAACTATAGGTCACCGTACGGCCTTCAACAATGAGTAAAACCCATACCGCATAGTCAGCTATAAAAGGCCCCGAAATGACAAATGTAAAACAATTCAAACGTTGTCCAGTCTTTTTTATTTTATGTACATTAAAAATCATCTTTGTCTGAGCATTGCAAAAATCTTGGAACATATATAATTTGCATTGTTTCAGAACGTTTTCAAATAATGTTTCTCCAGTCTCATTTGAAGGG